AGTTTTATTTAAGAAAGGACTTGTATCGCTGAAGTTCCTCTGGAAGAATTTATCCCGGAAATTAACAAACGACCAGAGACGTAACAATATATTAAGTGTACTTACTTCAACGTCAGCTAAAGCAAACAAAATAAGATTTAACAGATAGTAGTAGTTTTATTACTTTAAAAATTTCAACTTACTGTTGTATGTGGTATTTTGTTATTTACTTAACATTTGGTGATTCAAATTTACAATTATATCTACTTTCAAGAAGCCAGTGCTAACATTCATAATAACTTTCAATTAAATCACTAAATATGGTACAAATGTCATAAACCAAGGGTAATGCCACTAAATAACCAGGTAAATGAATATAACATATTTGAAAAAGAAACGTAGAAGTAATTATAACAGAAAATACTTCTTGTACCAATCGCAATAGAAAAGTAATTTTTGCTCCCATATTGAAGTAGAAGCTTTAATCTTTTAAAATGTTGCAGGGTGAAACTAATTTATTTACGTATATAGTGGCCTAACTTTTTTTTTTCTTCTACTACTTATTTTAGTTATTACTTCACTCTTATCATTTAAATGTTTGTTTAAAGTGAATGTAACAGTTAAAGAGAAAATTTGGTAATTCAAAACTTATAGGCAGAAAACTGAATAGCATATCCTAAATGTAGGCATTTTGAGTTTTAATTTGTTTATATTTATTTGTGTAACTTAAAAAGCTTAGTTAAATAGTAAAGTCCACAGTTACCAGTATTTATAATGTCCTACTAATGCTAACTATTTGCATTTTATTCATTCTTGGTAAGATGAAAATAAATTTCGGATTCAAGAGTTTAAATTCTAGTTTTATTACACCGAAAAATTAAAACATTATGGCTTACCATGCACATTGTTTGTATCGTCAAATAGGTATAGAAATATAGTAAGCTCGATTAAAAATAAACATCAACATATATATATGATAAAATCCAATTTATTTCAACAATTATTTAATTCAAAATACAAGTGCACTGATATTTCAGTCATTTAGCTTAGCTTTCACAGAAAGCAACATAAGCGTAATCACGTGTACAGTAACAGCCTCTTTAAGTCTAACAATGAACAAATATTTAGTAAAGTAAGTTTAGAATAGTTGTGAGGATGATCATGAGTCATTACAATGAATTACTATCACTGATATGGAGTTCTCACAGTCATTAGCTATTACATGTAGTTATCGCAATATTTATGTCTGGCAGTGGTGATCTGCTACTTCATGAAAACTGAGCCACTAACTCAGACTGTTATACTTTTCTTGAATATCTCAAGAACAGATTGACTCAATCACATACTTCATACAAAGATTTTACATTCATAAAGTTTTAAAACATACTGCTTTCCTACAAAATATCACTATCCAGGATCAATTAGATGCTTGTATACTACTGAGATAAAAATATCACAACCACAGAAAGTTTGATACAAGTTTTAGCTACAACTAGGTAAGTGCCTGTAGAGTATTTTGCTAATAAATGCAAAGAAATAAATATGACACTGATGAAAGTTAGTGTTTCTTACTCCAAAAAACTAGCAAAAACACATACTAATTTGCTAAAAATTTTAAAATAACACCAATAGTTTAGTTTAATCAAGGTGAACATTTTGCATACTAAATGAAAATTTATCTATACTTCAACCAAAAAAAGAAAATGAAAACGAAAAACCCAAATTAAAATAATGCTTAACAAAACAGGCTTGGATGTATAAACTCTTTCTCTTCCTTTAAGCACAACATTCAGTTCTAATACAAAGAGTCTAATAATTGTTTAAACATCAAATTATGTGAACTTCAAAAATATTTAAAAAATTTTAAACTCGGGTTTAGTGTTGGTAAGTAAAATCATACAAAATGTACAGTATCAAAAAAACTTTACAATAAGTTTAAAAATGTTAATACAGTTATTGAAAAAAGCAATCAACTTTTCTGTAAAAAGTTTGACAGCAGAGGTACTTAGATTTTCTAAAATCTGACATATATATCTATATATCCATAACTGAGCAATAGTCCAGATATTTCTGAAACATGGTCTTTGTAAGACAGAACATGTTTAATGTTACACATATACATAAACTGATTCCAATAGCACCTTTTCTGATTACCTGTTTTTTAAATGTTTTAAATAAGATTTAACTACAGGTTTAATTTTTTTTTAGCAAAAAGCTACACAATTGATTGGTTTTTTTGCACTCTGTCCACAGTAGGGAATTGAACCCCAGATTTAACATTGTAAGACTGTAAACATACCACTGATCCACCAAGACTTAAATGGAAAAGCTATGATAAAAATCATTGGAAACAAATACTAATGTAAAAATAAACTAATCTGGGTTTTTTAAGTTTCAAGATGATTCTTGATGTATTTCTTGATCCAAATGCAAATTAAGTTTTCTTGCAACCTTTTAGAGTATACATAAACTGAATTGAAAGTATATTTATCCTCAGATAAGAAAAAAAATAAAAATAAATCCTAACAAACTTTGTGAATCCTTTTAGCATAATCAACTTCATAAAATGATGCTTATGTCTAAAGTTCTATTGCTACTACATAGAAAATCTCAAGACAAATAAAATCAAATCTAAATTCTCTAAATATTTTTCCTAATTTTTTTTTTGTGAATTTTATCATCTAAAAAGCAAAAGCTGTCATTTTGGTTTCCTGTTTTTCCATAACATTTAAAAGCATACACACACACAAGTAGTTTATAAACCATGTAGTCTTTTAACATAAAAAATGTTTAACTGATAACACGTTTGTGTATACAACTTCTTTGAGAACATCATTTTCAAATATATAATACTGTTAATGTCTACAACACAAATACATTGTTTTCAATAGTCATGTTAATTTTTGTTTGGCCACTTTCATTGTTTTTTTAGCCACTTATTAAGTTTATCTTCTTTAACTTCCATCATTAACATTAGAAAACTGTATTATATATGTAATATATTAAAACACAGTTTTATGTTTTATGTGTCAGTAAAAAAAACAAAAACATTGTAAATACTTAATATATTTATGACACTTTCTGCTAACATGAATGTATGTATTCTATTGTATACTCCATTAGAAAAGTATGTTTAAAACACTACTACTACCTATTATCATACATGTTTCTTTTGGATTGTCTACAGTTTTTTTTTTTCGTTTTCTTCACAGCTGCTTTAAATCATCAAAAGCTATGTTTCTACAACAGTCTATTCGCAGCATGAAAAGTGTAATAAGGCTAACTGTAGTGCTCAAAGAAGCAGGTTTAATAGAAGTCAGCTATACTGCTGCTCAAGTTGTCTTGTATACAGAGCCTCAATATGTACATACATATGCTTTCTATAAATTTATATATAAAAGAGCAAAACTAACAAAGTGATGGACATCATTCCTAATTTGGTTTTACAAGTTTAACGACCATACTAATTATCGACTGCAAGTTTTCATTTTAAATCACGAGCATTATCGTTTCTTTCAAATCTTTGTTACATCTCCTAAGTTTTCTCCTGCAATCTACTTTTTCAGCATTTTACCAAATTTTTGAAAATTGTTTATCAAGAAATAGCATGATAATTTTAACACTGTAAAATATGTGTTATCAACAAACACAGGGAATATAACGTTCATAGTAGTCTTCACTGTCCCAGCATCATTGGTGTTTCATGCTCATTAGTGTAAAAAACAAAAACAGCCACATATACAGCATAGAAATGTCTCAAATATCTTGTCACTCTAACCATTCTCCACATGAAAGTCAGGTTGCACTATGCCCTAAAAACCTCTACTTTTTATGATTATGAATGCTGAATTGGTAAGTAACAGATTCATAAAATTTGGAAATGAAAGTATTTGCAATTATCAACTCTGTTTTATATTAAATGCTTTACTGTGCAGTTAATTCTATGTATCAAGAAATTTTCCATTGGATCACTTGTTTGTATTCACAAATGTTAATGGTATATTTTATTAGTTAGAAACACATTGGTATGTATGCCTATTTTACAGTATTCAATAAAATATGGAATAATACTTCATGTGTTTACTGCAAATAATTTGAAGTAACTAGATATAATATCTTTTCATGCATTATATTCAATTATCTTAACATCACAGGGATTCATATTATGACTCACAAACTTATTAAAACATTTATCATTAAATGTGACCACTTACTTGTACTAATATTCACTAAAGCCTGAACAGTACACAATTATATCACCAGTTGATATGATCTCATATTGTAAACAAGAAGAAAAAAAAACATTCGTAAATGTAAGCTATAAACTCCTAAACTTTTCATAAAGTGTGCAATTAAATTAATAGCTTGGAAAGTGCTATCAAACCAGCCACTAGATGGCACAGTTTCAATTTCATTACACTTGTAGAGGCAAGGTGTGGACTGTTTCAGTGACACAGGGTCTAACATCATTTTGTTTTTGGTTATTAATCTTGAACCTGAGGTTTTACCTTTTCCTTATTAATTTCATCAGTTATATATATTATCAAGTATAAATTTTTATAATAACATAAAATACTCTATTTTGAAATTAAAGAAAATAAGTACTATGATGATCTCTCTCCCTTATTTATACTAGCTGACACAGAGAAACTACTATGAATTGGAAGAGTCATTATTAAACACTATTTCCATCATTTGAAGTAGCCTCATTACTGAAAGTTTCTATCAAGCATTATTAATCACATACCTACAAGTGAGGTAACACATTAACTATTCAGAACTAACTGACTGTATTAAATAACATTTCTTCACCTATCCACGAGAAAGATCCCTCTCTAACCATTCAGGAATTGGTTGTCTTAACTTATTTAACAGTTTTGAAAGGGCAACATTATGAGGTAAGTAAAAAGTAGAGAGGAACTTCTCAGCTCTATAATCCATTGGAGGATAGTTCCGACCTTTATTATGCCCAAGACACTTCACGCTGTTCTCTTCGGTAACAGGACAAAAGAAACCTTTGGAAGGATTATACCTAAAAAATGTTTTGGAAATAAAGTTTAGAATTATTACTTTTTATTTATTTTTAAATAAGCATTTAAATGTTTCAGTTGATTGCTATGTTTAAATTATTTTTCTTTTCTACATAGACAGCAGAAGCTAAAGTTGTGTACATAAAAGAAGTACACAATGTTTCTTCAAAATTTTCTAAATGATCGTGAATTGGTCAAATCATATGACAAAGATTAATTCTCTCTGAGGGGATAGATGGTGCTTCAAAGGCACTACAATTTGCATAAAGTTTTGGATCATAATAAAATATCTATTTTGTTTAAAACAATTCATATCTTGTACCAAAAAATATTTATCTACTCCTAAATTCATCAAGTATTTTCATAATTGCCAATTTTTTTTCATGCCTGAAGGAGTTCCTTTATAAAAAGATCTAATACTTCAAAGAGTAGCTTATATAACACCAGTTAAATGACTTTTCAAATTTTGTGGTGAATATAACAAGTTACTCATTTTTATTTTGTTTGACAATATAACTTATTTCCTCGGAAATTAATCAACAAAGGAGACTCTTGAAACATCTAATATATGACCACTGCATATTAATGGATAGGATTTGTTTTTATTGTAATATATGTAAATTTACATAATTAATATAACATTAATTAACTGATTAAGTATCTTAAGCATTTTTTTTTTTTCAATCAGAAATAATCTTATTTGCAACTGATTTTCTAAGGTATTATAATTAAAGTTTTTGTTTTGATACAAGTAAGATTGGTCTAGACAACTGTAATTTATAATGCAAATCTGGAAATTGAGATGTGTATCTAACTAAAACCAGGAACAGTATGTCATTACAAAGGCACAAGTAGATACCTATTACCTAGATAAATTGAAATACATTTGTTTTGGAACAAATAACAAAAAAAATACTATAAATTTGCAATTAAAAGTTATATTTATGTGTAAGTATATTATTAAAATGAGCTTTTATAGCCAAATTGACAAATCTATTAAGGATTCCCAGTAAGGCTACCAAGAAAAACAGTTTTTTTATGCTTTGATATGAAGGAGATACCCCCCTTTTATCATTAAGTTTATGCCAACAATTACCAGAAAGATAAACCCTTTTAGTGATGTAATACAAAGTCCAAGATTTGTTAATTTTATATAGAGACTTAACAATCATAAATAAATTATTACTGAAACATATCAATACTTGCTGAACATATAAGAAGTTACTATATGTTACACACTGTTTTGCACTTACCACACACATATTCCAAAAATTATCATTCCAGACATACTTGTGTGTATTTCAATACTTACAGCATATATATATATAAAACAATGATATGAACAACTTTCAAAAAATTACATTAACTAGGCATGACACATATACAACGTATCAGCAAAATACCAATATTTCAGTTATATACAAACAAATGCAGATCAGATTCTACCATACACCAATAACTGTCCCAACATTCTTGTTATTGTACAGCCTCATATCAATATTTCTACACTAGATAAGATGCCTAGTATTCATAAATTAATGCTTAGCATAAATATACAAAAGATTACTATACACTTACTGTCAGTTGCTGTCAATACATAAATATTAATGTTTATTGGATTAATAAACACTTCAGAAACAAACTTAATACTCTGGGACAAACTTTTTTTCAAACTTGTATATTGTATATCCATACAAACTACCTTCCTAAAATATTGATCCTCCTAGCCCTCCTTTTTGACACAAGGTACAATTATGAAATTAACAAACACCATTCACAAAATCAAATAAGTAACCATGCAAAAAAAAGTTCACTCAACCCAGAACATAAATAACCAAATCAAACACAGAAAAACACAAAATATCCACTACGAGATGTACACAATATAACTAGTATTACACCTCAGATGTAAAATATGACCAGCAATCTAGGTGTGAGGAGTCATATTTTAACTAATAAGCCAATTATCACATCTGACAAGTAGAAATGTACCACTTACTTTCAAGAATATGAGATTACAAATACTATATTTATTGATAATGAAGACTGTACATATAATTTAATTATATGCAAGATTTATTGTTTTGTTTTTTCTAATTTTGTGCAAAGGTACACGAGGGCTATATGCACTAGCCATCCCTAATTTAGCAGTGTAAGACTAGAGGGAAGGCAGCTAGTCATCACCACCCACCACCAGCTTTTGGGCTAATCTTTTACCAATGAATAGTGGGATTAACCGTCACATTATAACTCCCCCCATGGCTGAAAGGGCGAGCATGTATGGCGGGATGGGGATTCAAACCCACGATCCTCTGATTGCAAGTCGAGCACCCTAACCACCTGGCCATATAAAATTTATATGACAAATATTTCCTTAAAAAATCTCTTTCAAGTTTGGGATATTAGAGATTGCTGAAAGAGCACTTTGAGGACACATGTTCAAACTCTCAGGATTTGTATGCTCTGTTCAGTGTTGTTTCAGTTAACTATAACAAAAATGCTGTTAATGAACATAAATCACATTAGTTAACAAGTATAACTATAACTACAAACATAAAATGATAACATAATAATAACGAATAAAGATAACAAAAATTATTTAGTTATCTGACATACATCCACGTGCATTGGGAAACAAGCAGTCTGACTGAAATCCCTGTGCGTGCGCGTGTGTGTGTGTGTGAATGGAATGTGTCAGAAATGCAAAAATAGTCACGTAGCTAAACCTAAAGTATTTTTTACTGAATATTTCTGCAAATATTTCCAAAGAAAGAATAATGCTTTACCTTAAAAAAACTAATTTATTCTTACTCCCATATTGCCTTGTTTTTATTTGTACCAAAACAGAATATAGCACAACTGTATTTTCACTCACACTGAAATGACAGATGTCAAGGTCGTCACGACTCAGTTAAATATAATAATAACTAAAATGATATGTAGTTAACTATAATAATAACTAAGTAACTAAAACTAAAGGTACAAATCCTTAACTATAAGTATAAAGTATAACTCAAAAGCATAACTACAAAAACACTGGCCTCTATTGCTTTACCATTTCTTTATCACAAGCAAGTAAACAAAATCCAAGCCTAGTCACTATCACTACTTATAGTTTTCTAGTTACAGAGTATTGACATATTTGTGTTGATAATAGGATCAATATTGTCATATAGTACCCCCTGAACAAAAATAATGACAATCTTATAATTTTACTACAACATATACAAAACAACCTGAAAAAAATGTTGATTATTAACCCATTAACTGTGGCAGGAGCAGCTCAGTTGCCATTTTCTGACTCACAGATAAAACTGAGTTGCCATCAATCACAATTTAATAGTAATTTTCATCATTCGCATAGAGTTACAGTTATACATGTGCGACTGATGGAAATATCCATCAGTCGCAGCTGAGCCATAGAACTTCAATGACGAAAATATCCATCATCTGCAGTTAATGAGTTAAGGACAATCTCTCCAATATTTAGATATTACAGTTTAAGTAACAGCTTTGATGAGTGATCCTCCTGATTCAGTTCAGATTTAAATGTATTGATGAGAACATTTATTATTATTATTATTTTGTATATAATTCAGAGATAATAGATCACATTAGCTATCCCAGTATGAAAATCTGTTCTGAAGTCACAACTTGATCTTATGTTGTTAACGAATGAAACTTTAAGTAGTAATTTCACACATTTCCCACTTAAAGCAGTAAAGTGAAAAATTAGTTTAACTGTCTTTACATTGTTATCAAATATTTAGTACATGCTCTAAAACCTGACAAATATGTATCACTGAGTAGTAAATTACACATCTATATTATACATCTAAAATTTAAAAATAAATTGTGTATTTAGGATGACCACAATTTTAACTAAGTCAATCAACTACTGATTACTTTTAAAATTATAATATTGAAAAAAATTAAAACTACAATTTAATACTTCCATTTTTTGTGTGCAAGAAATTATTAAAAATGCATTCTCTACTCATCTAAACTACAGGGGTCAAGGATTCTTTCATTCATGGTTAATATGAAAATTTATTAATTACTAATTATTATTTATTAATTAAAATTTATGTGTTTTATATTTTATTTATCACAAATTATACATAATTACTAAGTTAAAAATTAGTATTACTGTGTAAAAATATCTTACTTCAGTCGATTCCGGTAGCTGAAAAATGGCTTAATCCTCAAAAAACGCTGAAACCTGCTCATAACACTTGCTGGATCATCTTTGAGTTCTTCTCCATCAATGATCAATAACTACAATGAAATAACACAATTAAGATGTCAATAGTCTAGGTCTCTTGGAATGTTTTACTGTGTTTAAACAATAATAAAAGGATGTTCCTCCTACTGTATAAAAAATTTAGAAACATCAACTCCTCTACAAGGAATCTAGTCAACTGTTTTTTTTTTGTTCCATTCTTTTAGAGTACAACTATTCATCATTTTATTATAGTTGTATTCTGTTCTTTTAATTGATACCTGAATGGCAGTAGAAAGTTTCTCTAAGATAATCATACTTGTCTTGGATGAAAATAAGACAACCATCTTTCCAGGTGTTGAGCATAATGTCCAGGGTTCAAGCACCGGTTACGAAGCTCTCGCACACTCTTAGGAAAAGTCTCGTTAGCAGTTACAATATCATAGAATGTGTAACGTAATGCTATGGGATCCTTATGGGCACGCATATGCTAAAAAGAAAAAAAAAATTACTGTTTAATGCTCTTCAAAATATTATCCTGATAATATGGCAGATTTCTAACAGGTTGTTACTTTAAATACAATACAGCTGCTTACCATGCTTTTGATCTTTGTAATGGATAACAGTATGAACTCAGGAAAACATTACATAAATTCCTACTTAGAGAAGTCATACTGTACTTTCTTCCAATAAATATTACTTTAAAAATCATAAGTTTTTTATTCATATTATCCAAATTCTAGTAGGTATAATGAAATAAAGATTCTGCTAAAGTAATTCAACCTCTAATTTTAATACTTATCTATTATCTTTACTGCTATATCATAAAATGAAATATATTGAGAAGAATTTAGTTCAAATCTTAAGCTTTTTTATTCATATTACCCAAATTCTAGTAGGTATAATGAAATAAAGATTCTGCTAAAATAATTCAACCTCTAATTTTAATACTTATCTTTACTGCTAATATCATAAAATGAAATATACTGAGAAGAATTTAGTTCAAATCTTAAGCTTTTTTACAAAAACAAGACACTTATATCAATAGTCATGCATGACATCACTGGCTTACACTAATCTGAATTTCGTATCATGAAGCTTTAAGCGATATACAGTATTTTTATGCTATCCTCTTTGCTGTTCAATTACATTCTCAAAATATTAAATATTTATTTGGCTGTAATTGTAGGTTACAGGGCTATGTTTTCTGTATGATCCCATTCATTTATATTTTAATATGGAAAAGATACTAGCTTTTGTTACTGTTGAAAGTCCACAGAACAAAACAATCATTGGTCACTGATTAAAGATCAAACACTTTTTGTCTGTAGCAAAATACTTTTACACATGTTCCACAATGACCAGTTGAATATTTATATGGTTAAATGAAGAACATTTTTTTTTGTATAAGAACTTAACATAAACTTATATTTAAAAGATGATATTAGATTTAAGTAACAATGAAACTTAACTGTAGGACATTAATGTTTACTCTATATCAAGGTTTTAACAAGTTTGTAACATATGTGTAATTGGTAAACAATCATGGCTTATAAGGTAGTAAATACATACTTGTAGTATTGAGAATTCAGCCCCATCTCTTAGTCACCAATATAAAAATTCTTAGATCTTCAATAATAAAACATTACTCATCAAATCAGATTATCAGTTGCCACTATTATTCATCAAAAGTTTCACTAAAAGTTAGTTTGTAACAAAAACGAATGCTCCCATTATGAATTGTATTGTTTAAAGGTTTAACTGAGATGTGTATTAGCACAAAAATGGAGACTTAGTTTTTTATTCATTTGTTTATTAATTCCTTTTTATGTACCCAAGATAATCTTTAAGTGTTCTCCTATTTACCCAACAGCAGTCTTCTGAATAGCCTCTGTTTTATCATTGGTTATCTTTAAATAAAGTAAGGACAGTCTATAGTCAGAACATATACAACCTAATATAACCTAGTTTTTTCTGTATTTAATGTTTAAACAATATTTAATAGGCAATAATTCCCTTCCGATTCAGCATAAAACTAACATATTTCTGAATGAAAGAAACATACGTCATAAACATATATATTTTTAGAGCCAATCACTTTACACACCACTTTATTTATTGGGCAGAGAACAGTAATTGTGAAAATATTTCTGCAAAGCATATATGTCAATTTTATTTCTAGTTGAACTTAAAAACGTTTTTTTTGTAATGTTGAAATACTTACTTGTGCAGGGATCATATATGATCACACTAGGGTTTGACTGATTATATCAAACACAATAATGCAAATAAACTAGTCCTTCACGGTAGCCATACCTCCTCGATTTGCAATTTATGCATGCATTTACACTTGACTTAACTAATGCAGACTTGTACATGACATTCTGTTTGACACTGTATTAACTCAACCATTAGCAACAAAAATTAAAACACTGGATGAACAACTTGGTAATGATAATTTTGGTATGAAGGTTTGAGATTTGGTGATTATTCATAATAATACATTTTTGTAATGGTTTACATAAGAAATAGTATAAGCATTACCAGACCATCCTTTCTGGGATTTAATACAAGAGATTTCAAAGGGTATGAGGTTATCTATATTTAAATGCCTAACAAACAATTTTTCAAGTCAAAATGACACATTGTTTTCAACATCAGTACATTCATATTTTTTAAACAATTTTTGGAGTTATCTAATTTTGCTTTTACCTTGCAAAACATGTGTAAACATATAAAGAAACTGCTTAAATAAAGTTGAAGTTCAGATCTAGTGTGTTTTATGTTTACCTAATAGTACGATAGGAAAAAAAAATACATACATATGAAAATTTGCCCATTTGTCACACAGATATCTTGGCCATTGCAGTACTGAGTAATATGCATGTAGCACAAAACGATGGCTCTTTTGGCCATAACAAGCAAGTTTGTCTTTTTGAAATTATTCCAGCCATACACATATAAAATGTAAGATTTGCTACTTTGGGCTTATAAGGGTGGGTTGTTAGAGAACGTGATGAGTAATAAAATTGAATCAGTTTTTCCCATGTTTCAATCAATAAAGATTTATCAAGAAGAACATTTGAACATAACTTAAAAATATACATAAATCAAAGTGCTAACCAAGCAATACTTAATGGAGATGAAATATACATAAAAAAATTCTGTTTTCGTGAAACACTGGAAAGAGGATAGTCATTCTCCATACGTATATTGTTACTAGATTATAATTAATTTGTAAAAAATATGTTAATAAGACATTTATTTAGATATAATTTTGAGAAGGAAAATTAATCATTATTTCTCAATATATGACAGACATTCAGCTTGTATATACCTCTATACATATACATCTTTCTACAACATGAAAAGTTATTAGGTAATAAATCAAGATTTAACATCACACAACATGTTCACCCATTGTTTTTGAGGTGACTGGCAACCAAGATTCATGAATATCCTTTTGAGTATTGGATATAACATTTTTTTGTTGTTGCATTTAACATGTAATATAATTATTAACAGTTATTTGGGCATTTTAAAGAAAATTCACTTTATATCTATTTTGACCTTAGAGTTCAGTTACACAAAAGATACATTACTATCTGAACCAGATTCATCACTCCCTATCAAATAAGACTATTTTGTACAAGTTAGGAAATATGATTTGCTGTACAATGTTAAGTAAGAAGTTTCATGATACAACAGCTAATGTCCAGAGCTTTAATCTGAATTTTGATTAATTAAGAAGGCAATACAATTGTAATTAAAGAAGCCAATGTGGGTGAATGCAACACGTCTCCACCATGCAATCCCTCCATGACAGAGAAAAATCGAAAACAGTCTATATCACTGCTTGGGGCCTGCAAGAAGGTATCTTTTCACCAAATCCCATGTAAGTTGGTTGAGAAACCAAACACATGAATAGTTCATAAAACTCCCAAGTTGTGCTTTCCTCACTGAAAAATTGAGCAAAAGACAAAAAATTCCAAAATTGTCTATATCTCTGTTTGAAAACTGTAGAAAGATATCTTTGTACCAAATCCCATGTAAATTGAACAAAATATGGTAATTGTCAAAAAGAAACCCTAAAATCATACTTTTTTGTGGAATCTTGAATCCCCAATAATTATTAAAAATGGGAAAGTCCACCATTTTTGTATATCAATGTGTGGGACCTATAGAAAAGTATATTTGTACCATGTAAATTAGTCAAAACATGGACAAGTAATTGATAAAACCCCCAAAATTAGGCTTTCTTTGTGAGCTGCGACTCAAAATGGGCAAATCCAACTTTTTTTGTAAGTCAATGTGTTGGGTAAATAAAAATTTATATTTGTGACAATTTTCATCTTGATCACTGTAAATATGACTGCCCAAAATGGATTGTTTTACCTTTGACCCCATAAAATTTAAAAAGGACTAAATCATAAAAAAATGAATAAGGTGTCTGGGTGTAATGGACCAAAGTATAACCCTACCAAGTTTCAAATCAATCTACCAAGAAATGAAGGAATAGCGGTCGACTGAAAGTGTTTGGAAGAAGAAGAAATAATAGAAAAAAACGGTATGTCTCTTTGTGGAGACAATTATTATTTGTCTGGCCATTTCCATCATTTCACCTAAGGAATTTCCATTATGACCTGCGACCTTTACCTTTAACCAAAAAATTTGTGTTAATTTGTTACTTTAAAAGGCCACTCAATGATTTGTTAAACACTTCAAGTTTTTGTTACTTCAACCAGATAAACTTTGATGTGTAACTATTATATATACCTTTAAACATAAGCTTCTAAAACTAATAAACCCATTATAAAAGTGTAATGTGATACAGAAACACAATGTTTCTTTAAAACTTTCACTACCAGATGAGGGTTCTACAAATCTTCATTAGCAAAGTAATTATTAAACTAGTACAAACTAATCAACAGATGAAATTATGGAGAATTTTATAAGTCATACTAAATTAGCTTGTCATTGAGAAAACAAACTACTACAAGTTGAGAAATGAGTATAATACTGTTTATTTGTTTTTCATAAAAATTCGTTAAATCAGCAATAATCTCTAATCATAAACTATACGAGATATACACTATATTAGCAATTTAGTAAATTAAGCAGAAATAAAGCACAATTTGTTGTTACATTTTTTTTTAATTAACTTGAATATTTATAAAACTACACTAAATTTCACAGCCTCTAGAATTTTACTTACTTGGTACCATGAATAAGCTCTTTTGATAGGACTAATCAGAATGGTGACAAGCTTGGCATAAGGTAGCAAAGAATTGACTCTCATTGGCACAAGTTCGCCATCAAAATAAGTAGCACTCTTTTCAAACAAGAACAGTGATGAGGAATTTTTAAGAACAGGAAAGAAGTTCATATACCTTTGAAAAAGACATACTACATTAACATAAGAACAAAATATGGAATGAAATATTACTATTATGATGTGATAGTATTTTGCTGCAAACTCCTTTAAACGTGGTTTTAACACAAATGTTATGAAAGTTTTTGTTAAGGTTAAAACTTATTCTAATGATTACAATCTTACCAGTCAAGTCCTTTATAATAATTCTTTCCATTGAAAAACTGCACTTCCTCATAAGTCTCAGGACTGGGATAATTACTTACAATCGCTGGATGCATGGTCAAAAAGGTATACAATGCTGTTGTTCCTAAGAAGGAATAAATCCAAAGTCTATCATTCCAGTATGTCCATGCAATAATTTTTTTCCTTAGTACATAAAATAATTTTGTACTTTTAAATTCAACCCATGATTACTAACTGCAAAAAAAATATGTTTCAAAACTGTTAACTATTTTTCACTAAACAAAATATAATCACATTTATATTTTCCTAAAATTAAGCTTGAAAACACTTATTTTTCACAATTTTCTAGGAATTTGTAAAACAAATGAATAAATTATAGTTTTTCTATGATTTATTTTTAATTTCAGACAGTTTTCAGCTGAGCTAGTTAAGTAATCTATGAAGACAGCCCTTATATTGGCCAATCTTAGTTTAAAATGCCACATTTGTATTTTAGGTTGTTTTTTCTGTGACTAACAACTATTCTCTAATTTATTCCTGTTTCTTACAACTTAAAATAACTATACAAACACAAAGGTAATACACATAGTCACAAACAAGTATTAATTGTTACTGAATCTTTGATTCTATAGGCCATATAATTCAAAGGCTTTCTAATGATTTTAAATAATGTAGTAGCAAATGTCAGAAAGAAATAGTGATATTTTTGAAAGACAGCAAGTGATATGAGGGTGTGGCCTTGAGGGCTTGACTTTCTGGTTTATATTTCCATAAATTGAGATGATTAAGGCTATAAAATTAAATTATGTCTCAGCAATATCTACACTGTAAGTTTGTAATTTGTACTAAAGTCCAGAAACTAAAATAGATATGGTAAGAATGTTTAAGTGGGCAATTCAGAGTAAACAAGTGTCACATGATACACTTAATAGAAGATTGAGAATTTATTGAAATATTACCTTTTGAATTAAGAAATTAAACTTGTACAATATTATAATTTGTTTTATTAACTAAGTTTTGATTCCATATTTATTGACATATGCTGATAATAAAGTAGTTTTATTAAATTTTGAATGTAACTCTGTGAAAATTGTGACATGTGTATTTTTACCTACCTGTATCTTGAGGGTTAAACACAACAGTACACCTTGCTTCTATGCTATCCTAAGTTTATTAAAATATGATTGTGAAATACTGTTATAAATGTTCTGTATTATTCTCAACACTACAGCCTAGTTGTTTGGCCACTGTGAAACTTTCTCAGTTTCCATTTAAGCAGATATAGCCTTAAAAACATTATTAATATTAATTGTGCAGGAGAACCCATGGTTACAAAAGCTCCATTGGCCTCTTTTTTTTCCTTTGAGGTATCATTTCACCACATCTGGTGCATGCTTAGGATCACCGTCTTACTAGATGATAATCCATGCCTAACTGTTTCTGGAGACGTATGAATAAGAATTTGGTTATGCCTGTCAGCAGTCATGGTTCCATCAATTTTTAGTTATCTGCAACAACTGGCTAAGATGCAGCCCACAATAGTATTGATTTCCCAACATGTTTCACTGTAGATGTCATGTGTTGAGACCATGATACTGCTTTCTTCTCTGCAATCCAACAAACTATGACTGACTGTTTCCAAACAATTTTAGTTTGCATTCACCTACAAAGAGCATCCCCTTGAGTTTTTCTCATTCTATTGTTTAAAGCCTGATGCACATTTCAATCTTTTGGTTTGGTTCTCTCTCTCTCTATACTAAGCAGTTATTTTTTAAACAGCTACACATCCATTGAGGCACTCTGTGCTAATGTGTATCATACCATTCTGAAGGTAACATTTATACCTATACTTACAGCTATGTAATTAGCAAGAGCTCTTATGGACTGTCGTATATCATGTAAAAAGCTATCCTAAGTTATATCATAACTTTTAAAGAGTTTGGGCATTTTACCTTGTTCACTTCTATCATTAACAGTACTAGTTTCACATACCCTCTTTAGACTGAAACAGGAAATTTCAGCTCAATCTGTTGCCTACATTAGACTTCACCAACCAAAACGTTGGTTTTTATACATTTGTCATGAGGCATTTTTGTCCTAGGACCCATAAATTCATTCATCACACTACTTCTAGAATAGATTTGGTTTGTTTGAAGTTAAGCACAAAGCTACACAATGGGCTATCTGTGCTCTGCCCACCACGGGTATCAAAACCCGGTTTCTAGCGTTGTAAGTCTGCAGACATACCACTGTGCCACTGGGGGGCTCTAGAATAGAATGACTTCCTGTGCTTTTATATTATGCTGATGTGACATTGTCTTATTGGTTGAATGCCTGCCAACCACAGTGTGAATTATTAACATAACTGTACTTGATGCAGTACATTTTTACACAACAGACAAGGAAAGCAACCTCATTATATTTGAATCTTAGACTTCCTTTTTCACTTTTTATATAATTATTTCCATTGCATACTGTATGCCAAAAAGCAATAAAAAAAAACATACAGTAGTCTAGAATTAATGATATGTACACACTAAATCCATTTCTCTCTCTCTCCATTAAGTTGGACTTTTAATCAGTTTCGATGCAAAAAAGTTACATTAGGCAAACTGTCTTTTGTCCTGTACCTAAAAATAACCATCAGGAGAATATTTGTTTCTGTAGTAGCATCTACTTCCTGAAAACTGTGATAGTATCAAAATGTGTACATGGTAAATAATGAAAACAGAAAACACAATATACAAATATGATACTACTGTACATTTCTTCCAAAGGTGTAGAAAGTGAGAGAAAACAATACCTGTTTTTTGTGGTCCTATAACTAAAAATTTTGGAAGTTGATCACACGTCTTTGTCTTTGACCAAATGGATTTATGACGTTTGTCAATACAAGGATTCTAAATATCATAATAAATATATAAATACATTAATAAGCAATGCGTAAAATCAGTATTGGCGAGGTAAATTTTACTATCAATTTAGAAAAAAATCTTTTAATCACTGCTGTCAAAATTATTGTATTATAAAGCACATATAAATATGATAATTTGTTCACTGTATTATATCACATGCAAATACAGTACTGTGCAAAAGTGTTAGGAGAAGAGAATATTTTGTCATTCTTTCCATTTTATGGAGCTAATTCTTCCATGCCATTAGAGAATGTAAATTTCAACACTATGGTAATGCTTCACTGATCCATGTTGACAGTTGAATGAGCCATGGTGAAAATACTTATTCTTAGAATTCTCATATACTTGTACCATGTTCCCCACAGAGCCTCGATCTCAACCCAACTTAACAGATTTGGGATTTGATAGATCAAGAACTTGACATATAAAAAGTAACTTCCAAAGAAACTTTATGGGAGTGTATTAGAGACATTTGGAGTAAAATCCCAAAAAACACTTTGATTAAATATGTTGCAACAATGCCTGAAAGACTGTCTGTAGTTAATAAAGCTAAAGGGGGACACACAAAATACTAACTGTTTGGTGAACTCAAGCACTTCCACTGAGTTTCTGTTATACTAAATATGAAGATTAATAAAATTTTGATGTTTTACCTGTGAGTTATCTTCCATTGTACTTTGAGAGTAGCCTGAAGTCTAATTTTTGACTGTGTCCTAACTCTTTTGCAAAGTACTGTACATACTACACACACATAGCACACACAAATATTGCAAAGTAATGATAATTTACTCATACCATACTTAAACTGTTGAATTACTCTTTTAATAGTGTTTTGTTAATTAAGCTGAGAAATTATAAGTGGATACAGTACACTTTACACAAAACAATAAAAACCTTAAGTACAAAAAGTTAAACATGATAAACCAAACATACATACTCACATACAATACTAAAAGAACATAGATGTATGCAATTTATTTATGATTTATGCAATAGGTTATAACAGTCATACAAACACTACAAAATCACAATTCATGCTAAAAATTATTTGTATAACACTTTGAGACTTGATAAGAGGAACATATATTTATACAGTAATAAATGCTACAAGACAAACCTAACAATGAAAATCAGTCAATGAAGTAAACAACTGAACCTATTGAATATTATTATTTTGGAAATCTCTGCACACAATATTCAGAAATACTACCAATGATATTTATTCTCTCACAGACAAACATGTTGTTGATTTTCAGTACTCTTTAAAATGATAATAATTTCCATTATTATACAAATGGTATGACTTACTACCAACAAAAAAGGTTTTAGATAACTAATGGATCTTTCAGACTTAGCAGTTAATTAGCAAGGAGTTTATACCTGAATACCTATGAGAATCTACATTTGAATCAAATTATGCTTTACTTTTTAATAAGTATAATGGAAAGTATACAATAATGGATAAAAATATACTTAAAATATTTCTTTCTAGAAGTGCTCACTAATGTAAAATAAGTATCTTGGTCATAAGTGTAAAGTTGATTCCTCACTACTATGGCACACTTAAAAGAAAGTTTACACCTTTCTACCAAGCTGGACTTATTAAATACGTTGATGCTGATCAATAAATACAATATATTTCAGTTTGAATTAAAACTTAATTTTTGCACATGATTTTATTTCAATAACATGTTAGGAACTTTTCTATCTAACAAAAGGTTTTTCTTTAACACTTCAGCAGAGCTATTTACAAGAGATCAGTCTTTACCCGATAAAAAGCCGTTTTTACCCAAATACCAATTATGAACTACACAAGTGTCTAAACTACAAATGAATCCTAGTTTACATGCATAGCTTCATTAAGTTGATTTTAACTGAATATGTGAGACCTCAAATCTTTATGGTGCTTTTAAGCTCTCTTTAAAAAAGTTTCCTAAACCATCTTTTACCATACTGGTGTTCACACTACAATAATTATTTTCAATTCGATGAAAAAGACTGATGATCACATATCACTTTTATATCCAGCTACACAAGTTTCACTGAAGTATAAGATATTGCTTAACTTACTATCCACACAGGATCAGTCTCTTCTGGATACAGTTCAAAATATTTTTCAGCTAACTTAAGAGGAGGGACAGTGAACAGTCGAAGGTTGGTCCAGCACTTGACAAACTTTACTACTGATTCAAAAGTATAAGGTGCCAGTCTGTCATTCCCATAGTTGGACAGATGGGTCATAAATACATTAATCTGTAACAGCAAAGTTAGCAATAACTTAATATTTTGAAAAATAGTAAATTATATATATATATATATATATATTATAAATAAATATATGTACGTATGTACACCCACACACAGTTTGAAAATATATAAAAATAGAATATACTAGTGACTAATAAAAACCATGGCACTTGAAATTCATTTAGGCAGAATAAGAGTAAATTAATCTATAACATCTTTTTTCTTAGCTATGTTTTTTTGTGTCGCAGCAATACCAAGCATGAGGCACGTGTATACCAATTCAATTTTATTACTCATACCAAATTGAAATTTTTTTAGGCATCATTAGAATAAATTAACCTATGAGACCTTGAGCATTGTCAATCACAGGTTTGACCTCCTGAGTCCAAAACTGTAATTAGATCTCAAATCAGTCAAGAAATGCCAGAGCTAAGAGCTAAAAGTTTGTACTTGAAAAACTCTGAGCCATTCTATGAGCTGAGGCTAAAAATTGAAACAGCTATTTCGCACCATATAATGCCAAGCAAAATAATATTTGATACAACAGAGTATTAAAATACAAATTGAAGCTTTTGTTCAAACTGAACTAAAAACTATTTCAAAATCAGACCTCAACTGAACTATTTATGTACTTAAAGGATATTTTCACCTGCATAAAATGCATTATGAAATTAAAATGGATTAAATGAAATACCTTACTTTATATTTATTTTTAAATAGGAATTATATAAAAATTTGTGAAATTACATTTTCTATCACATTTATTTCTTTACAATTTTTGTGCATAGCAATTCTTAATTTTGAGTTGACAGACTAGAGGGAAGGTAGCTAAATATAAACACCCACCACCAACTCTTGTATGACCAAACAGTGGGATTTGACTGTCACTCTTATTGCAAACCCATTCTCACATAGTGTGGAGCATGTTTTTGTGGCAATAAGATACAAATCAAGAACCCTCAGAATCACAGTTGAAGCAAACTAACCACTAAGCATGCTCAGTATCTCTTTCATATATGCCTATGCAGAATTTCTTCAATTTTTTGAAAAGAAGGCTGTAAAATAAAAAATCATTACTTAGTCAAATATTCAAATGTACATTTTAAAAACTTACTGGGTTGTAGACAAAAAGAGAAAAGAGGTCACCACCATAAATACTATTCTTCAAGCGAGCTGGACCTCCAGGGTATTTGTTGAGAAAAATTGTATGAGTGTATAGACCACAAGTTTGTCTTGGAAGAACCTGTAACAGTAAAAAAAAAAAAAAGTTTAATAAACGTTATTTTTTTAAAATTTCAATTAAGATTATTAGCAACTATAATAGTGTATGCATTTTTCTTTTTAATAATACTCCCATTTATTACCCACACACATGCATTCACTGATGAACATGCCCAAGTTTGAACAACTTTCACTCAATTATGGTAATAGTTAAAGCAACTGCTTGAAACATAACACAAGAAAAATAATGACAAAAATTAACATACAACCAATGGCTTTAAAATCAGAACTTAAACTAGAACCACAACAGAGGATAAAATGTTTCTAATTAATAGGAATGATTGAAGTGTACAACAAATAGGGGAGAAAAACTAGTACTTTCATTTAGAAAGGCAAAACAACCTTAAAACTAACAATGTTAATATGCACAGAAAATAAGCATTTATTTCAAAATAATAAAAATGAAAGTAATTTGTTTTGAGGTAGATTAGAGATTTGAAAAAAAAAATTAGTCTCTTTGTAATAGGGTATAAAACTAAATAATGGCAATATAACAACTTTCAACTAAAGTGAGGATGCAGTTGAGATTATTAATACAAAATAATAATAAAACAGACACAATATATTAATTTAACTAATTTAAGAAAATATGTTCAGTTGAGGAACTACAGTAAGGAATCAGGAGGGTTTCTGCTTTCACAAATCATGTGTAGTAACTGAATGGTTTCACTTTAACCAGAAAAATTATTCCTGATAAGGATCACAAGTTAGTAATAAATTAATGCATAACAGTTTCATAACTGTATAAATAAAATGTTGTATTTGTGTCAAAGAATAACTGTCATCCATTTACAGATTAATTTAAATATAATTATTCAAAACACAAAAGGAAAGCAATGTTTCAGTTCCAATTTTTAAAAGTCACAAACACAGATGTAATAAGTACACAGTATTTTGATAACATAACTACAACACAGAAGTTAAAAGAAAACCAATAATTGTTTATAACCTTTCTTAGTACAAGTTTTTTTAAGAACTTAGAAGTGAAAGTAAAGAATGTCAACATTTTAGACACATTTTCTCAAAATTATATATGATACATGAAAAACTATTCTTTCTCTTGTATCACAACATATAGATGTTTTAACAATTTTTGTTTCACACATACTGATACTACCCTTTTAAATAATTTTTTACTTAAGTTGGAGGAAAATGTACTTTCTTTGTGTTTATACATTTTATTATACACAAACTAAACAACTACACCCTTCTACTCTCTTTCACAATATCCTTAGATATCAAGATTAAAATTATCCACAATTCTAACCTCCAAGTTTCAGAATCTTCCCAAGTAATTAATGAATATTATGAATGCTTTCAGTGTTGTTTTCACATATATGCGACTTAAAAAATAATCAATGTATTTACAATCACATGTTAAAACTTCAAACAAAAAGCCTTGAAGGAAAAGTTAGTTAATTAAAGAACTGTTCAAAATGTTAATATGGTTCCCAAAATAGAACAAAAAAAATTTAAGCTTAGCAAGTATCGTTTTAGAATCATCAATACAATATATTTATAAAAATATGAATGTACCAAAAAAAAAGGAAGATACATTTGAAATCATTTAATGATATTAATAATCATCAGTTAAAATAAAATTTAGATATGTAACTTAAGCTTACTTTGAGATATTGGCCAAGAAATAAACCTAATTTTACCACTTCTGACTCTTCAACTTCACATTAAAAAATTTTGTATAAGATATTTATTTATGCAAAGCAACTACAAATCTTTACATGACTGTAGATCCCCGTCATCATATAAACATATGTCACTGTCACCTATCACATGGTAAGATGGAAGGAGACACTACATCTACAGTCTTTGGTATGAGCCAGGAGTTATTAGCTTAAGGTAAAGTGTGATATTTGATGTAACAATTAACCTTGTATGAAACTTTAAGACATTAAGATTTGAAAAAATATATATA